TAACCCCTGTTGCCCATTCCCAGCCCTGACAAAGAGCTAGGGACACCATTCCTGTTCAACCCGGTTAAGAGCCAATGATGGAATGAATAATACTTCTTTATTCACTTTCTCCAAACCAGTCATGATTTTATAAAGTAGAGTAAAAGAATAAAGAAAAGTCATGATTTTATAGACCTCCTCCAGATCTCCCTCTTTTCCAAGCTAAAGTCCCAGTCTTACTAATCTCATCTGGAAGCTGCCCTTAATAAATTGTCTGCTTTTTCCAATGTCATTATATCTATGAGATCAGGCAACCATATCTCCACAAAGTATTGAAGGTGTGTGCATAGCATCGATTTATGTAGAGGCAGTAAGATATTCTCTATCCCTTTCTTAATGATTCCCAACATTATGTTTACTCTTTTTACTGCTGCTACGTATTGAGTGGATGTTTCCACAAAGATTCCAAGATCTCTCTCTTGAGTGGTAATAGCTAATTTAGTCCTCATCATTTTGTATATATAGTTGGGATTACATTTTCCAGTGTGCATTACTTTTCATATATCAACCTTAAATTTCATCTGCCATTTTGTTGCCCAGTCGCCTAGTTTTGTAAGATACTTTTGAAGCTCTTCACAGTCTGCTTTGAACTTAATTATCTTGAGCAGTTTTATATTATCTGTAAACTTTGCCATCTTGTGTCTAGCCCCATGACTGTATTGAGCATCTTGTAAACTGAGAGTTTTTTTCAGGAGACTGCTATGGAGCCACTATTATCCCTTTCTCATGCCTCTCAGCTCTTTTCTGACACACTTTCCTTATCTATTAGCTGAACAGACAACAGCACTACTAACCCTTATTCTGCCAAACATCCTACTGATGTCAGCATGAACTTTGTCTAAAACCTGAGTCCTTCGATATAAAATCAAGGATTTGTTTTTTCCAAAAACAATTATAGGGTTCCTAGTTCTCTTTAGAATGCCATTTTATTTGCTTGCCTAGTAGCTCACTAATTAATAGGATGAATTTATCTGACATGAAAGGGGATGTTACAAAGAAACAAAATGCTTTCTATCCTTTAATTTGCTCTTCACAGAATTTCAATTTTCAATCTTCTTATTCTCTTTCAAGGATGCTGCTATTTCACATGAATAACTGACATTTATTTCAGAGAACAAAATAGAATTACTTCAACACTGACAATATAAAAAATTGGAAGGAGATAAAATATATATTAGTGAAGTTCACATAGGCAGCCTGTCCCCACTGACCTGTAGATGCAAAAGTATGAATAAAATTTTTTGGATTGCTTCTTCTCAATCTCACCACAAGATTTAGATCTGACTCAAAGATTTGACCTTTGTTGCTTTTCTCTGCTTACATTGATTCTTTGAAATTACCCTTATTCACTTGAAGTCTACCTGTTCATACAGAATTAATACACTACTGTGGCACAAAATATTGTCTATTTGGAAGAAGAATAAAGCCCTCTAGAATTCTATCAGTCGGGACAATGTCACAGTGCATACGTTGAGTGGTCTTTTATAATCCCCCCCCCCCTTTTATCTTAAAACCCCCCCCCCCCTTTTATCAATAAAGTCTCATCTATATCAGCAAGAAATTTTGTGACACACATTTAAAGGCCTGTCTACAATTAAAGTTTATGTACATCAGTTATTCCAAGTGCATTACTATTGTCAAGCATTTCTTCAGCTGTTCTTAATGCTTAAGAAGGCTATCAGGAATAACATTTCAAAGCCAGAATTCTATGTAGATTATAATAACATGTTAATAATTTTATTAGGAAATTTTCTTGATTTTTAAAATTTTGTGTACAAGTGTACTGAACAATACTGAATTTAACAAAGTGTCTGAAAAATTTTAGATGACTGCAACTGGAGAAAATAGTGTGCCAGACTGTAACAAGTTTGCTATTATTTTGCTTTTTTTAGTATTGTTTAATTTAGGGGGGGGGGCTACATAGATTTATCTCAGCTCAGATCCTTGCCCTAACTGTTCAGCAAGAGACATTTGATAAATAGATGCATATCAACTGTTCTGATTCCTGATTTTCATTTTTTACTATTTTCAACATTTGTAGCTATGTTGATAGATTCCTTGGTGTCATTTTTTAAAATGTATTATTAGAGTCACCTACATGGGTATTAATTATTTAGTCTCTAAACCTATGCACTCTCCATTAAATGAAAGTTTAATAAGTTCCACACCATTTCCCCCGTAGCTCTTCCATTTGTTTTATCTACTAAAAAAATTAAACAAATCTGGTTGTGCCAAATAAAAATGCATTTTACTATGCACCTTTACACTTTTTCAAAAGATGAGCTAAAGTAATCCACAATTATTTTTATATTTGACCTTTACAAATCAAATAGTTATTATTCTGCTTTTCATTTGCATTTGGCTCCCCGGGTGCATAGCAGCTGCAGATAGTTTACAACATAATTTTCAGATAATGCAACAGGATAATAGGATTGTGTTTTCATTATAAAATGAAATAATCTTTTAGAAAGGAAGTTAAAAATAAGTGAGTTGGTATTCCCCTTTCATCAAATAGTATCTTGTGTACGTGTGCCCATATTATAAAACTGCAATTTTTTTCTTCATTTTGACTGTTACTAACACTAGGGAACATTTACTCACTTAAAGTGTCCCATGGAAATGAATGGAATTATTTGATGAGTAAATATCAATCCAATTTCCATGAGAGTCTTTGATATGACCTTATTGGAAGCTGAATCTGGTCTCAATTTTGAACAATCTAACCTTTATTAAAGTGCTTTGGTAGATTATTTTTAAATGAATAAACCATGGGGGTTGTAAGTGTGAAAGCAAGGGAAAATGCATAGAAATATGTTATCCTTTCATTGAATCAGTTAATCAATTGATAAGACATCTGTGAAAGTCATGTAAGCAGCATTCAAAATGCCAAACATGAGCAAAGATTAAAGAAAATCCAGCTATGACAAATATGGGGAAGGGGAGAAAACAATCATTACCCCTTTACTACAAAAGATGAAAAAAAGGAAGATTCAGAAAGGCAGATAGAAGAAATTCATCCACATGCCTTTTTCCACATGTTACTCATCTGAAACTTCTGCGGATATTCTTTGAACATCTCCAACTTCCACTGAAGTTATGCGGAACTTGGGATATACAAAGAGTGCAGCTTGAGACCCAGGATGAAGAACTGAAATGTTGAAATGTCACAGCATATAATTAGCAAGAAATCTCACTTTTTGCATGTCCACAGCAGCATGAAAGTAAAATGCATTTTTTGCTCTGCATCTTCCTTTCCTTGGAAACATTTTTTAAAAACTGAAGTGTATTATACAAAAAGTATTTGAAGTTGAGAATGCTATATTGATGTGTTTTCTATAAATATTGGTGTTGGTCTAGAAGTTTTTACATGGCAAAATGAAGAGAAAGTAAAGAAGGGGGTAATTTCCAAAACGTGATGCTGGCCAAGATGATAATCATTTTAAATTATACAAAGCATACAGGAAGCATAGGAGGTAATAGTCAATTTTACAGAAGAGCACGATAAATAAACCAAAATTATTTCTTGCTATGGAGACTGTTTTTATTTCCAGGGCTACAGTAGAAGTCCAGTCCCGCACTTTATGAAAGATGCTGTTGATTTCATAGATATTGCTTATGTGAATAAAGATTGCGGGACTGGGTGCTTCAATTTGGATAATATTTTTAATTGATAATGTCAAATAAGATCTTGCCAGATGCTGAGCTTCAATTAGAGATGTTGTGTGTGTAACCCCTCCTACCTCTTTTGTTCCAAGGGCTCATAGGAATTGTAGTCTGGATTGTAGCACACAGGATCTTTTTAGAATAAAACAGAGGCCCCTTTAGTAAGGGGACTACAAATGAATCAATTAGTACAAGTTTGGAACCATTAGGAATGACTGTCTTTTGGATTTGCTTACTTCTTAGATATTTAAACTGATCTATGAATGCATGTGAGACATAAGTATTGTCAATCTACACAAAAAGCACAGTATATTGAAAAACATTTTTGGTTTCACCATTTTCCTAGTGCATTTTATTTTTAAAAAGTATAGAAATTGATCAAATTCTTCTGATATACCATATTTTTGAGGCACTCCTCAAATTATCAGTTGCAAGTTGGTATATTTCTAATCATGAGGACCATGAGTTTGTAATCAACTCTACAGCTGAGCTTTCGAAGGTAGTTAGAGTTACAGAAGTTCACATTTCACAGTCTTTCCTGCTGGCCAGCTCTTAGCTTATGAAACCCTGATAAACAAGGCTAAACTATTACACCTCTGCATTTTGGATATAAAATTACTATAGATAACCACTGAAGTCACTTTTGTCAAAGCCTTAATGTTTCTTAGTATATGCTGTCACTGGGCTCTGTTAAAATGTAGAAATAATAGATAATCTGATTTGCTCTCTATCACAAATTTGAACTTCTGGAATTTATTTAAATCAAATGAATGAAAAAGTATTTTTATTAGGAAATTAGTGTTGTCAGGTCTATTTCTTGACCGAAGAAGTAAGTTTACCATAGATGTTGGTTATGGCTTTTTTTCTTATTTAAATGACTAACATGGAATAAGTGGTTGGATGGCTTTTGAAAAATAAACCTGTTTCACCTGAACATGTTTAACTAGTTAATAAGAAACATCAAAAAATACAAAACCCTGAGGTCAATGATCATTTTTTGTAAAGCCATTATATGATGTATAAATTTGTTTTTTGGGTCTGTCTATAACATAAGTTTAATAACCTAGCTCAAATGAAGATTTCTAATTTTCAATTAACATAGGAATAATTTTGTTTGCTAAAATAAAATAAATGAATGAATGAAAAGTCTGAAACATGAAATGTTCTAGGTAGCACTTTTTAAAATTCCAAATTTCAAAAAATCATGTGGCAACTGTATAGCTCAAGCTTTAAGTATTAACTTTTAACCTTTGACCTTACAGATTTTAACCAATGAAATGTCTCTTTAAACTTTAAAGGAAACAATGATAACGAGCGCCTGGCGATTGCTAGACAGCGAATTCCATATCGACTTGGTCGAGTAGTTGATGAATGGCTACTCGACAAAGGTAAAAAACATTGATTAAAACTTCAAATAAAAAATAATTTGAACATAACCAAGTAGTACTTCATTGTAAGACTAATAAACATAAAATAAATTTTCAGTAAAACTAAATTAAAAACAGATTTAAAACAGTAAAATCTAGAGAGTAATATTTGCATACCTTGTATAATAATTTCTACACATTTTTAGAAGTATCAGCTGTTTAATAATCTTACCCTGTTAACTTAAGGTTAAAGGGACTGTTAAATATAATCCACTAACTCAATCTATGAAGGTACTCATAGCAAACATTAACCACAAATTATAAATCATTCATAGATTATGTTACATGTTCCAGCATCTAAATTATTAACTAACAATATATGTAGTTCATATGTTCATTATGGTCCTGAAAAAAAATCTTTGTTTAAACTGTAGGTATCTTAAATAGTGGGCACTATGAATTGCCAATCAAAATGAAGTCCCTTTAACGTTTGCAACCTTCTAAGGGGATTTTGGAACAAACACTAATTAAAACAGAACTTAAAGTTGTATGCATGCTTATATGAGCAGAAACCAATCTGCTAAAGTAAATATTCTGTTTAACATTAAATGGTACTATTGCTGAGGTTCTCTGTTTAATGGAATTGTGCCATGATTTCTCCATTGGTATGTGTATCATTTCTGAAGCCACTTTTACATCTAAAATCTTTTTATTTTAATTGATAGTCTTGCTGAAAGCCAATCACACATCTTTGAATTCTTTGTCTGAGATACTCAGTATGAACAACGCATTTCTTTTCCGTGGTTATGTGAAAATAAACATTCAGATGTGAAAAGGATAGATTAATTTATATACTTATATCTAGACATGACAGATATCTGAATTAGTGCATTAGAATATATTAGATTTTGTGACAGAATGTTTGCATACACACACACATATATACATATTGTACATACACACACGTGAATGTGTGTGTGTGTATATTTATAAAGTTACAGGTTATATTAGTATGGAAAATCTTGACATATTGACAGAAAATAGTTTTAGGGATTTTAGAAACTTTGCATTCTTGACACACACAGTAAGGCAAAATGTAGATAAAAGGGAAAACAATCTCATTCTTGTTTGCAATACTAAACAAATGTATAAATGTACTTGATTGGCCTTTTAGCAAAGAAACAAAACAGAAAATTAAGAAATTACAAACATTTCTCAATAATTATGCATTTCATGGACACTTCATTAAAAAGCAATGAATTATGAGTCAAATTCCTCTCTTATAGTTTATTGCTATCATTATTCACCCCATGCAAATTTGTTAATCATCCTCTTAGAGTATAGAGTTCACAATCAACATTTTTGCATGTATGTAATGTTATCTTTACAGGGCGTCAGCTTACAATCTTCAATAGTCAAGCAACCATAAAAATTGGAGGCAAGGAACGGGGTCATCCATTCCAAGGCCAGCTATCTGGTCTTTACTACAATGGCTTGAAAGTTCTGAATATGGCAGCTGAAAATGATGCCAACATCGTGATAGAAGGAAACGTGAGACTTGTTGGTGAAGTGCCTTCTTCTATGACAACTGAGTCAACAGCTACCGCAATGCAGTCTGAGATGTCCACATCAGTTATGGAAACCACTACCACTTTGGCCACAAGCACTGTCAGAAGAGGAAAGACCCCTACAAAAGAACCTATTGGTCAGGTTAGTCAATCTTTATATACGTTCCAAATACTTTCCTTTCTTTTTACATGACTGGACTTTCCAAAATTGCATCTGCTCTAGAGATACTATTGTTATTTAAATACATATGTGAGTAGGTATACTGACAATGCCCAATACGCGGGGTGCTGAAAGGAACTTAGAATAAGAAAGTGCCTTGACCCATGGAAGATGCTTTTATTCTAAAGTTAATTTGTTCAGATCCTTATTGTAGTAGATGACCATCTTCTCTGACCTCAGACTTTTTTAAAGAGCGCTTTTTTCCTATGGTGAGTAACACTGACAGAATTCAACGAACAGGAGTGGATCTTTAAGAGTTAGCTGAAATGAAATAGTGTGGGAGATCTAAGATGAAGGACCAACATGAAAGACGGTATGAAGATGAGAATATGAGATGATGTGAAAGAGGGAGGGCATTGAGACACTATAATTTCCTTTGAAAGATGACACAATGATGCACTTTCTTAAAGGTCACAATGTATCCTGGAAGATGTTAACTTCAAGGAGAGTTTAGAACTCTTTGTACCCACAAGACCGAGGCTCCCTATTATAGAATGTAATTTATTGTTTGCTGATTTTATTTGCACCTTGTGAATTTAGTCATATATTGAGTAGTTGTTGGGTTTTGGCAGGATCTCTTCTTGTTTTGTGGAAGAATTTGAATATCTAAAAAAAAGCGGGGGGAGGAGTGAGTTCATTAACCACTTTAATTTTATGCCTTGCACGTACCTTGTGTCATAATATTCAAATTATGTGCTTTAGAAAAAATGTAACAGGACATTTTTTAAGATATAACATTTTTACATTTGTCATATTCTGTTTGTAACTTCATTTAAAAAAGATTTATATTACCAAAAGGTTGTCATACAGTTCACGTGATTCAGAGGGTCACTAACTGGTTTTCTGATGTGCCTCTTTAAACCATAGCTCTTAAACTAGTGATGTCAAAATGTCAGGGAAAGCGTAAGGGAAAGTCGCAAGTTGTCAGAGCAAGAATTTGAAATGTTATGTGGATGACTATATAATCAGGGAGACAGAAGGTTCTAATGGATAGAGTAAAGCTACCTGTATTCTGTTTTAAACTACGATTTGTGACCTTGGACAAGTCTCATAACCTTTTGTACCTCAGTTTCTTCATTTTAAAAGCTGGGATTATAATTCTTCAAACACATATGGCACTTAGGCTAGGTCTATTCGTATCGGCAGATCAATGTTGCAGAGCTCAGTCTTCTGGCACTCGATTTAGCAGGTCTAGTATAAACTCATAAATCAAATGCTGAGGGCAGCTCCAGCTGGTGCCTGTACTCCTTGTAGTTGTGAGGAGTAAGGGAAGCTGACAGGAGCATTTGCTCCCATTTGCCACCTGCTGTGTGGATGGCGCAGAAACACTATTTAAGTTGCATATTTTACTTCAGCCTTCTGCCATAGTGTAGACCAGGCCTTAGAGAAGAATGGCCCTCTAAGGGTGCATCTACACTGCACTCATAACTTGAAATAAGCTACACAATTTAAGCTACACAAATTGCATAGCTGATTTAGAGTTAATTTTGAAATACCTTATGTGACGGCGCGTTGGGGTCCCCCGCCTCCTGCACCCCCGAAAGGGCACGAACAGACTCCCCCAGCCGGTAGAACAGAGGGAGTTTATTGCCTCTCCAGAATACAGCACAGCACAGATGTCACCAGGTTACAGAGCAGGCCTAGGATGCCTCAGCCCCCCTTGATAGGGGGGGTCCGGCTTCTAAACCCCCCCGCCTGTTGCTGAGGCTGCTTCCTCCATGCTCCCAGACAGAAAACTAACTAACTCTCCTCCAGCCCTGCCCCCCAGCCAGGGGCGGCATTCCACCTTCCTTTGTTTCTCCCCATGGGGGGTAGCTGGTCAGACAGGTTTGGAGCCCCCTTTGCATAATGACTCATCTCCCAGACAGCAGAGGTCACCACAGCCCTAGCAAGGTACCCCCACTACGTCACACCTTATTTCAAAATTTGGCAAGAATAGCAAACCCGTTACATTGCAAAATAACAGGCTTGCTCAAAAGATGCGGAATAGCTTTTTCGGGATTCTGAGAGTATCCCAAAATAGCTCTGCAGTATAGACATAGCCTAGGAGTAAAAACAATGCTAATAATAATTATTGCTGTTGTCTTTTTAAATCAGGCCCAACATTTTGATTACTAATAAGTTTTGATTAATCTTATTTGTGTGTGTCTCTCTCTATAAATGCACGTGCAATTTTATTTATTTGTAATAACAGTGCATACAAATCTGAAAGCAAAATTAACTAAAAACTGCTGTAATGGAAATTCACTAAAAACATGATAGAAACTATTTGTTTTCATTGCCAAATGTAAGTGTCATGCAAAAAGTCACTATACATGATAACATATAATTTGGTTTTTTGCTTGTTTCAGTAATCTAAATTATTATTAACAATGCAGGAAATTAATTATTTTTATTAATACTACCTTGAATACTATTTCTGTTATTTTCTAGGTAGTCCAGTCTCAGTAATTTGCAATACTAAAATGTGAGATATCACTAGGTTTATGTGGAAAGTATTTGATTCTGGAAAGCTGGAGTATCATTCCTAATGAGGAAAAATGTATTGGGTATGAGTCCAGGTTAAAGATTTTCCGGATGTATTACTGGGAATTAATTTTATATATGAAAGCTCTGGTTTAAACTAGCAGCAGTGATAAGCTGTGAGTTCTTTTGGAGAAGTAGAAGGTGGATGGGGAAAGGGTTCTCTGAGACACCTCATTTGTTCATTTCTACTTTCCAATGTCTGTCTGACTGATTGGTTTCCCACATTACAGGAACTGTCCCCTTACCAAGGTCTGGAATGTATCATTGTTCTTAGAAACTAGAGGGAACCACTCAAAAATAACATGATTTCCTCCCTTCCTTCTTGCCTTAGATTACTGCATTTAAACTGCACCTAGCCCTGTTTCACAAAAGACTGATTGCCTGATTTTCTGAAGGGCTGAGCAGTCACAGCTCATAAAAATGGTCATACTGTGTCAGATCAGTGGTCCATCTAGCCTAGTATCCTGTCTTCTGACAGTGATCAGTGCCAGGTGCCCCAGAGCAAAATACCAGAACAGGTAATCATCAAGTGATCTAATCTCCTGTGACTCATTCCCAGCCCTGACACAGAGAGGCTGGAGCACCATCCCTGTCCACCCTGGCTAATGACTGTTGATGGACCTACCCTTCATGAATTTATCTGGCTCTTTTTTGAACCCTGTTGTAGTTTTGGCCTTCACAACATCCTCTGGCAAAGAGTTCTACAAGTTAACAGTGTATTGTGTGAAGGAATATTTCCCTTTGTTTGTTTCAAATCTGTTACCTATTAATTTCCATGATGATGATTTTATATACCTCAATCATGTAGAAGTGTATGGGAGTGTGTGTGTGTCTCCTCTCCCTGGGGGAAGACTAAAATATTAAAGATAAGAAGGTAAATAAAAAATAATCCAACTATGCAGTATTTCTTTTTAACAGGGGCTCAGTTATCTTGATATTAATTTGAATGTTTGTACTTCAAAGATCTGATTGATTGCTTTTGAACTCATTTAAATAGAAATAATTTTCTCCCATATCCTTTATTCAGCATAGGGAAATATGGTCACCCTAATAATTTTTGTTGCCCTTTTCTCAACCTTTTCCAAATCCAATACATCTTTTTTTTTTAACAAGGGGCAGCCATATCTGCATGCTGTATTCGAGATCCAATTGATCATGTCTACAGTTGCTCTGTGCCTCTGAAAAATCAGGTGATAGGGGACCCAACTTAGAACCTGAACTTGGACCCACCTTCCTCATCCATCAACATCCCTGTCATTGCTACTGAAACAACTGTTTAGGAATATTTTTGGTATTTAAAAATGCTTAGCACAGATTTGGAGCTCCTTTTTCACAGGAAAAGTTCCACAGATTTATGTGTTGTAATCATTGCTGTTTTAAGGAAGACAAATTATTTTTTCTCCCAGTATCTTTGCCCCAGTATCATTATATCATTATTAAAGTACCTTAGAATAATCAAGGACTGCACTGAAATGTTGTGTTGCAACTATGCCTGGTGTTTGTTTTGAAGAGATTATGGATAATATTGCAATATACAACTGAAATTTGTCATCAGATAGTCCTGCTACTCATGCAATAAGCTCATAAATAGGCAGCTGCTAAATCACATTAAGACTGATGAATTGCTTCATTAGCAGAATTTTTTATGAAATCCAGTGAAAGAAATTCTCTTTCTCTCGGCCAGAAACAGAATCTTGCAGGATTGAGGTGTGTGAGTGTTAATTGCAATGGTATTCAGGTGCCTAACACCCATTAATTTCAATGGGTGTTAGATGCCTAAATACTTGAGGAACTGAGTGTGCACACTTTCACCTCTCACTGTTGTCGGTGAAAGCTAAAGGCATCTCACAACTTGCAGAAAATCTGCCTTTTTAATAGCTGTTTCCCTTGTTTATTATCCTGTTTTATAATTTGTTTCTTTTCTGTATAAAAACATAGTTCTCAAAAAATGTAGAAAATGAATATTATTTTATTTTTAAACTAGCGTACTAATGCACAAAAAGTTACTTTTCAATCATTAAATTAAATAGATTATCCAAGAATATAGGCAACTGCACAGCAATTGTTAATGAGAGAAGTTTAAAATATTTATTATTAGCCAGTGAATGTTTGAAGACAAAAGTGAGCTAATAGAAATAAATGATCAAATCAATTAGGGATTATTTGCTCAATTTACAGTGATATTAAATTAAAGATATTGAATTAAATATTACAATATTTGTTTTAAAAATAATATTTTAAATATTTATATAAAATATTTAATTCACTAATGTTAGGAATTAGACTGTTCAAATTGGTACCGCATGCACTTTCTCACCCACCTCCCCTTGCTGCAATATATGCCATAACAAGACCTAGATTATACTTCCATGAAATGTGTGTTTCATATAGTGATA